TCCTGGAACTCACTCTGTAGACGAGGCTGGCCTTGAACTCCTAGATATCTATCTGCTTGCCTTTGCAGGGATTAAAGGCATTTTGCATTATACCCAGCTAGGACCTCTATTTTTTGGGGACAGGGTTTCACAGACATCTAGTCACCCTGCTTCTGCCTCCAAAGTACAAGGATTAAAAATGTATACTACCACTGCAATTACTAGGGCCCATTTTACAACCTGTGAAGACAGGAGTGTTACCTGGCCAACCCTCAGTTGAGAGCCCAGAGGTTCCTTTGGCTTTCACATAGGTTCCCTACTTCCGCATTCTCCTCCACAGCCATTATCAGCAAAGAACCTGGGGCCTTGCACAAGGTCTGCAAGCACTGGATCCCCAAGCCACACCTCTAGGCCATTCTTCATTACTCAACATTCCTTGCACAAGGCTTTGGAAAACTCCTATCTGAAAAATAAGCCTTTGAGGACAGGGTCTGCTTTAATTTTATATTCCTAGGAAATGTCCAACGTTTTTATTTTCAAGGAATGGTTGACAGTGGAAACACAAGAAGTTGGAAATTGATCGTGTATGAAGTGTAGACACAGTGTAACTGCCAAGGTTAGCATCTTCCTTATACGCCGTGTGTCTGTCTGCATATAGAAGCAGAAAAGGGAGATGGTTTTGGAAGACAGAATATAAACTTTATAGATGTCGAAATTTCTGCGGAAGACAATTTTGATGAGCAGTGCATGGATTCATAAAGGCCACTGGATAAGGACATCGATCAATATTTTAGTGGATATCAAGTTTAAGGCTTAGACTGAGGGACTTGAGAGATAAGATCATTTGGTCGTTTTTCTTCCAGATGACTGATGGTTTGATTCCAGGCACCCACATGGTGACTTAAACCCCAGTTATTAACCCCAGGACCAAGGGATCCAACATCCTCTTCCATCCTCTGGGGGCATCAGGAGCACAGGAGATGCGCAGACATACATTCCGGCAAACACATATACATACAATAAAATTAAATACACCTAAAGGCAGGCAAGCAAACAAAAGCAGCCTTATACTAAAAGAGTAGTCCCAAATGAACTGCCTCAGTCTGGGGTTTGAAGGCTCCAAGACTGATTGGTGAAAGATTTCTGATACTGAAGAATTACTTTTATGATGGACAGGGATGGCTGGTGCATTTTATCTAGCCAGAATATTCTTCTTTCACCACCTCTTTCCTTTAGGCAGCATATTGTGTAGTTCAGGCTGGCCTCAAGATTACCGTATAGCCAAGGATGACCTTGAAGTCCTCATCTTCTTGCCTCTGCCTTCTCAGTGATGGGATTATGGACAGGCCTGCGCCACCATACCCTGCTTTCCGTCTCTTTGAATAACTCCTTCAGTTCAGCCCATGCCTGGATGGGAAAGAAGTTTCTTTGGGGCTATTTTCCCGGGCTGCTAGGAGAGAGAAGTGTTGAGGTGAGCAGAGTTAAGGAAGGACAGAAAGTGATAGTGTTCCTTTTCTGCTTAGGAGAACCTCCCATTTCCATTAACCATTTTCACTTGCATTTTTTCTTACTTGCAGTGGAAGGTGAGCTGATGGAGGCTGCTTCTTTGCCCTCTTCTCCTGGCTACAGAGAACTGTGATGTCTATGCCTTAGTTACCACATCATGATCCCTGGTGGATTAGTTAACTGCCGGCAAGTTCTACACCCAGCACAGAGGGCTGTATTATTATGGAACTTAATGTGAATTTGAAAAAAATGCAGGTTTCTCCTCTTTGCTGCCCCCCAGAATTTCTTAGTGAGCACCAATTCTATGTCAACAACACAGGATACAGTCTAATCAGAATAGTAATCACAGATTTAAAAATTTAAAATTCATTTTATTACTCCTTGCTTGTGGTCAAAGGGCAATTAGCAGGGGTCTCTCCTTCCACCATGTGGGGTTCAAGGATCGAAATCAGGCCATTAGGCCTGATGTGGTTACTCGCTGGGCAATATATTTCTTGGCCGTGGTAGTTTAAAAATCTTAAATCCAAAGGCTTTTGGTGACTTCAACCAGAGAGGTTTATAGACAGCAAGTAGATTTTAAAACATCACTTGATTGTACCTGCTTTGTGCTGTGGCATTTACTGAAGCTTGACAAATAAGACTATAAATTCAGGGGCAGAAAGCACTGACTGACAAAAGAATTGTCTTATCGTCTTGACATCACTGACTCCATCTTTAAGACGGCTGTTTACTTCTGGGTTTACCTCCTGGTGTGTTTTAAAATACTCTTGCAAATCTCAGTCTGCTCGAAATAGCTGTTCTACCCTCTTTCAATAGAAGCTCCCACCTTCTGAGTATACTGTCTCATAGTTATTTATAAACCTGATGTCAAAGATCCCTCCTCCTCATTCTCTTCCTCCACATGTGAAGACAGACCTACATAAAATTAGAAACTTTGCATAAGGTATTCAGTCACTTAGGTAAAAACTATTTGTCAGCTAGCACTCTTTTAAGTGAATGAAAAAAGAAATAAAAAGGAAAGGAAAGGATGTGACTGCTCCTATGTATGGTGAAGGAAAAAGTTTATTGTAGCCAGAGGCAGAGACATCTGGGAGAGTCCAGAGTGGACAGGACCCTGAACCATGTGAGGAGAGGGAGTGGGGGAGGCAGGGGGTGAGAGAGGGAACGAAGGTGCAGCAGCGAAGAGGAAAAAAGTACAAAACTGGAGAAAGGGCAGATAACCAAAATGTCTGGGTTATATATGTATATGCTCTATGGACTACATATTATAGGGAAGAGCCTCTTGGAGAGTTCAGGGTAAAGCATCCATACCCTATAAAAGGCAGGAACTGAGGCATGCTGGGAGGACCTAGGGGCCAGGTCTGCTTTGATATGTTAAATAGGCTATTCCAAAGTTTGTCTCAGGGTTTGAGATTCAAAACAATTTAAGATGCATAAGTTTTTTAACTAAAGCACAGTTCTAGACTGTTTTGGGGGAACCCAGATTATATTTATATATATATGAAAAGAACTGGAGTTATAGACAGCCTTCCATGTGGGTGCTGGGAATTGAACCTGGGTCCTCTGGAAGAGAAGCCAGTGCTCTTAACCACTGAGCCATTTCTCTAGCCCCCACAAGCTCCTTCTTTTTTTTTGGTTTTTCGAGACAGGGTTTCTCTGTAGCTTTGGAGGCTGTCCTGGAACTCACTCTGTAGACCAGGCTGGCCTCGAACTCCCTCACAAAGATCCACCTGCCTCTGCCTCCCAAGTGCTGGGATTAAAGGTGTGTGCCATCACCGCCCAGCACCTTAACAATCCTTACCTAGCTAGCAGTTTGAATTTAAGCCTGCTCATGGCCAGCAAACACAACACAAAGGTCACAGTAGAATGGAGCATGTGAGACCGATCAGCAATGTCTCTGCTGACAGCTGAACTGAACGCTTTCATTTTAGAGGACACACCAGACACACAGGTGGTCAATTGAGTCCAGCAAGGTAGCACTACTTTCTACCACAGCGCGTGGGAGGCAGAGGCAGGTGGATCTCTGTGAGTTCTACAGGGAGAGTGCCAGGGCATAGTTTGAGACCCCATCAAAAAGAAAAAAAAAAGCTAATTTGTGTTCAGCGATTTGCCTAACAGTTGCCTCAATGTGAGAGAATCATGGCTCTTTGAAAATTTTGATATAATTGCTGGGCATTGGTGGCAATACAGAGAAACCCTGTCTGGAAAAACAAAACAAAACAAAAAAACAACAAAAAACCCCCACCTGACTTCATTTCCCAGAACCCAGGTCAGGTGGCTCATGGTCTCTAACAACTCCAATTCCAGGAGATCCTATACCTCTGGCCCTGTGGGCATCCATACTCATGGGTATATACCCACAGGTACTTGAGCGCACATTACACACACACACACACACACACACACACACACACACACACACACACACACACACACACACTGTCGCTCTCTCTCTCTCTCTGGTAAGTTTTATCTTTTTTTTTAGAACAGGGTCTCAGTATTCCAGGCTGGCCTTTAACCCCAGATTGTCCCTAGCCTCTGGAGAACTAGGATTACAGGCTTGCACTATCGGAAAGGACTCTGCATCCTCACAGATGGGGACAGATTTAGCATGTAGTCCTAAGGAACCCAGTATTTAGAGAACCTCCCAGACTCCTAGAATAGTGCTCAGAGGAGTTAACAACCATCACAAGAAAAAGCAAATTTGCCTGGCTAAACATGAAAACGAATCAAAGGTGATATTTGGTCTGGGGAAGGAAGTCATTAGAAGACAGTTACTTCCACAGCAGGGAAGACTTTCAACCACAAAGGACAATCCATTTTCCTTTTGAAGGAAAACAACACTAAGATTACTTAAGCCTATGGAAATGAACAAATTCCTTCTTTACCACCCACTCAGGCCTCAACTAACAGAATGGTTTTTCTCACACCTGTGACTTGGAGTTTGGTAGTCTGGTAGAGGACTTCACGGGCCCAGACTGAGCAGCCGAACAAGGCGAGAGAACCCACAAGAAACTCACTTTGTTCTTTAATAACTGCCTGGGGACTGACAGATATGACATTAAATTTACGCAAAGCCATTTAAAATAATAACCATGTGGAGAAGCAGACACCCCTAGTACACAGGTCATAATGGCTTTTGGAAACACCTTGTGGCAAGATGACCATAAAGTTACTTGGGTGGTCAAAACTGAACTGTAAAATAGAATGTACTGGATCATTCCCACCAAATGGAAACAGTGAACAAGTTGTGCAATACTTAGGACACACAGGCAATTTAATTTTTCTGACTGTAAAACGAACATAAATTTTAGGAAAATGATATTTAAAAAAAAGGACAAATAATGAGGTTTAAAAATATCTTTTTTAAAGGTGTCTTATGTCAAGTCATGGAAGACTCTATTAACCTGCTTGGTTCTAAAGTAGGTTTTTGTTATTTCGTAATTCTCCCCACAAGGTTTGGTCAGAGTTAACTTGTAGATGAGGAAATTGAGCTCAGGGAAGCCATTGCTTACCTGTCTGAAGTGGTCATTGTGCTATTTGGATCCACAGCTGTTAACTTGTTTCTTAGAACTTTCTAGACACCATGATTAGCTGCCCTGTTGTGAGCGAATACATTGTTAAGGGTTGTGCGACTCGAGTGTTAATGCTTTTGAAGGAGGTCGGCTGCGAGAAACGAGAGGAAGAATGAAAAGGTGTCTGCAGGTGGACAGGGGAGGCGCCAGCGTTTTCGTCTGACCGAGGCTAACCTGGCAGATTTGAAAAACAGGGCCTCTAAGACCCTAAGTAAAACCCAGGAAATTAACGCAGACGCCGTGAGACTTGATAAAGTTACTGCTAGCGCGAATGCCCCAGAGAGCGACAGCAGGGCCTGCGATCCATTGATCTGAGCGACTGACGAGCCTGGGCAGGGGCTGGGGCAGGTAAGGCTGTGGGGCGCAGACCGTTGGTATTTCGGGCGCTCGGTGTTCGAGACGCTTCCTTGCGGTCTGCGTGTGTGTCGCTCGGGCTCCACAGTCCGCTGTTTCTTTTTCTGTCTGTTTGTTTTTCTGCCCTCAGCGTCTCAGTCTCACTCGCGGGCAGCCCTCGTCCTGAGGGTAAAGACCCCCTGAACCATCTTCCCAGACAGCCGGGGCTTCGCCTCCCCGCCACCAGCGACGGCCTAGTGTCGCGCCGGGCGGAGGCTCGCGGGCCGGCGACCACGGGGCCGCGTGCCCAGCCCGCAGGTCGCCCTCCCCTCCGCCTCGCGCGTGGGGTCGCGTGGGGCCGCGGGCCGGCGGCAAAGCCGTGACCTCGGGCCACCCCGGCCGCGCGCCGCTCGCTCCGCACACGGGCGCGAGGCGCTGTCCTGAGGTGACACCGCCTGCCACGGCAGAAGCCGCAGGCGCCGCCGATCAGCGAGTTCGCACCGAGGATTCCTCTTGGTGCGTGGCCCAGTTTTGCTTAGGACCCGCTCCAACCCCTCGCTGACACCGCCCCCCCGCGCCGCCACGCTCCGAGGCCTTCCTCGGGGAAGCCTGGCGGCTTTCCCCTCGCGGGCCCGCGGCGCGCGCGCGCGATTCCTCGATTCCACAGGCGGTTCGCGGCCCCGGGTGGGGGCGGGGCGCGCGGGGCCTGGCCGGCCGCCTGCGGGGAGGGGACTGGGGGCGGGCCGGCGTGGGGAGTTCCTCGCTCGCGGACCACACGCTCCGCGGGCCAATCCCGAGCCAGCCTCTAGCAGTGTCGCACGCGGGACACGTCCAAGCGTTTGTTGGCAGGGCCGGCGAAGGGGGGAGGGGGACGGATCAGGGAAGGGAGTTGAGTGACAGGCGGTGCGGAGCACGCTGGGAATTGTAGTTCCTAGCTCCCGTGGCCATAGCCATTTTGTAGTCAAGGGACTACAACTTCCAGAAGATCAAGGGGACTATTCTAAGGTGCCCCGGGAATAGGCGGCTCTCCCCCGGGCCGGGCGTCCTGGGGCACTGGTACCCAGCTGCCCGGCTGCAGGTAAACGTGAGGGCAGTGGAGAGGGTTTGCATGTGGCGGCCGTGGGGTGAGCGGACAGCGGGGAGGGGGGGGGAAGGGGCTGAGGTGGAGCGACCGAGCGTGCCATGCATTGAGTCTAGGGAGCCTCTCTCAATTCCGTGCTTGGGGTAGGAGTGGGAGAGGCGCCTGACGGGCGCTCCGCGAAGGATTCGCTGAGGCCTCTCCCGAGTCTGGCCGACCGGGCTGCGGGTGTCTTGTGCACTGGGCCAGGGCTGGTGGGCTAAGGGTAAGCAAGCGTGCGGGGGCTCAGCTGTGGGAGTTTTCGGCTGGCGAGCTGTGGGGAATTAGCCGAGGAGCCCTAACTTGTATAAAAGCAGAGTCCATTTAAAGTTGGGCTGGATAGCCTGTCTCTCATTGGTTAGGGGGCTTGGAAAAAAAGAGACTCGGCGAGCCCTCCGCTGTGGTGCTGCCGCCGCCGCCGCCGCCGCCGGAGTTGACTCTTCTGCTCGCACTGCTGCTGCAGCACAAACGTGACTTCCAACATTTTAAATTTATCTTTCCTTTTTCTTTTCCAAGATGTAACTACAGATCAGACACTAAGGACCTTCCCGTTTCGCTGATGTAGTTTTTGGACGAAAAAGGGGGGGTGTGAAGGGCGTCGGTTTTTTTTTTCTTTTTTCTTTTTTTGTGTCTCTGTTTTGTGTGTTTCGGGGGAAATTTTCCATTATGTTTTACTAAAGTGAATTTTTCTTGTTTGCTTCGTTCGTCTTTGGCTCTTTTTTTTTTCTTTTATCCTTCTCAATTTCGGATTTATTTCAAGGCGAATCTGGCTTTGGGGGAAGAGGAAGAAAAGTCGGATTACAAGGTCTACCACCACCACCAACAATAAAAACCACCAGGATATTTTTTTGCAAATTTCTGACGGCTTTAAATTCATGAAGCAATTGTTCCCTTCTGCAATCAGCATTTGGATCTCAGAATGAGCAAGGAAAGACCCAAGAGGAATATCATTCAGAAGAAATACGTAAGTGCCCCTAACAACACATCCTTTGGCTTGCAGTTGTGAGCAGTGGCTGTGAATGTCAAGTTTATAGATAATTCTGCAGCTCAAGTGTTTTAAACATAGCGTCCGATAAGGCTGTTTCTTTCTCTTCCGAAAGAGCTTTTCAGGCAAAGTCGTGTCTGCCTAGTTTGGTTGAGAAAACAGACTGGTGTAGAGATACCTCAAGTGAATAAATTGACCTCGAGTGACACAACATTAATGTAGTTTTAGATGAAAGGCAAGTGATTTTGGTGGAGGTTGGGGCTCTGGGTGGGGGCCTGCGGTAATATAACTAAACTGCATTCTCGGGCGGATTTGGCCCCATATTGCACTTTGCATACAAATGAGCTTGTTATTGGTGTTATTTGGGAAGCCGTGGTAGGTATGTGTGTTGGAAGCCCTCTAAGTTGCAATCCTGGTCCGATTAGAGCGATCTTCTTGCACTGGCATATCCATTTAATATGTGGTCATTTTGGCTTATCTAGTTTGCAACATAACCCAGTTGGGAATCATGTTACAGGGACTGCATTTATTGGTATTGACTTTAGTAATGAGACTGTTTTGGTTTTGTTTAAAAAGAATTCATGGTTTCTGTGTTTAGGGGAAAAATAGAGTTAATGTTTTGAAGTATATATTTGTGTGAGTGAATGCATTTGTTACTGCAAATAATTTATTCTTGTTAATTGGGTTTCTGAAATTGGGTTGTAATAGCTAAATTTGTGCATAGTATAGCAACATTTTGCTTGGCGTAGGGAGTGTTTTTGTTTCATGTAGTGGTCCCCCCTTTTTTTGGTAAGTTTTGGGGGGAGGGAGCAAAGAAGGGAACCAGGGGATTAACCAAATATGCACTCGAGTGATCCGGTGGTTAGCTGCATATGCTTAGAGCAAATAACTCATCCCCCACCCCGAAAAAAGGCCCTCGAAGATACATAAAGAACAATGCGATCGTATAAGAAAGTTTTATATAACTAGAGTCGATAATTTGGTGCTAGTATTTTTCCCTTTCTGTGTGGAGTGTATAATGGGAGATGACCTTCGGGGTAGTGGCTCTGTAAAAATACATATTTAATGGAGAACCTGAATTTCTCTTCCGGAGAGCTGATTCTAATCTAGACACGTAAACTTAACTATGAAAGAAACGCGAGATTAAATAATGAAGCTCAACTTACAAAGCTGCTCCATAAGGAATTTGAGAATTAAAAATACATCCGCATTGCAGAGGGCCGGGTAGATCGCTAAGGACTAGTTTAAACTCGGTGTGTAGAAACTGCATGGGCAGAGCCTTGCCTTGGAGAGTCCACCTTCCCAGAACATGTCTGTTTCTGATGTAGCCACAAAGGAGATGAGGTAGAACTTGGACAAGAACCCTCCACCCTATCCCGGACCTTGATAAGTTGGAGACTACTGTGTGGGGTAGGCTTTTTTTGTTGTTGCTGGTGGCCAGCGGATCCTGGCGAGTCCGGGCGTCTGGCCGCAAGCCGATGTGGCCGCCGGTGGAGGCGCGAGGCAGAGCACGAGTTGCCGCTGCGGGAGCCGAGTCCGTGCTCACGCCGCGCTCGGGCCACAGCAGCGGGCCGGGAGGGTGAGCGGGGCCCGCGGCGGGCTGGGCCGGGGCCGGGGCGGCGGGCTCGCGGGCGGCCTGTAGGGGGCAGACTCCGGGCTGTGCTCTGGCCGGGCGGGTGGGTGGGGCTCGCGAGTGGCGCGGTGTGCAGACTCGGGGCAGGCCAGGCTGGTGAGTGCGGCCGAGGGGAGGCTGCCTCGGGCGCCCCCCGCCGCGCACTAGGCTGAGCTTGGCGGCTCTGGCGTCTTCACGCCGCCCTGCCCCGCGGGCTCCGGCGCAGTCTCGAGAGCAACAGGTTAAGCTGGCTAGACGTCAGCGCGCCCCCTCCCCGCCCCGCGGCCTTCCCCTGCCGTGCGCCTCTGCATCCCCCCCTTCTCCCCGCCCCCTCCCCGCCCCCTGCCCCCAGTGGTTCTGGTCCTCCGCCCCCCAACACAGGCAGCCGCGGTCTGTTGTCATTGTGACGTCACAAAGGGACGGCCCGGTGGAACCTTCTCTTCCTCCGTGACGTCAAAAGTCGGGCGGAAGGTTCCAGGCGCGGCCTGAGTGGGAGCTGCGGAAGCGGTACGTGGGAGGAAGAAGGGTTTGTGAAGGGTGTGACACCCCAGCCTTCCGCTTTGAGGTGTTCCAGGTCCCACCAGGTGAGCATCGGGGAGCCTTTTACTTCTCACCAAGTGCCCTTAACCCTGTTCTTAAACTCCTTAGGGGCTGGAGAGTAGGGAGGGAGGGGCCTTCTTAACGCAGGAGCGCTGACACCCGTCAGTTCCAGGTCTTTTGATGGTGTGACTTTAGTGTATCCCTCACTCAGACCCGTGTTAATGAAAACGAAGGAAACGACATTTAGGAGAGCTTTACCTTGTGTGGCTGGAGTTGAGTGAGGGCTTGGTTACTTTGTCGTGCTGGGGGATGCCTTTACAGGAGGCAGCGTGATACCTGTGAAGGGGATGCTGCTTAGCTAATATCTTTTCCGAAGCTTTTCACTGCCTTTGGGGAAGGACTGTCCTCATTTGCTCACCTACTGTATCTTGGGGACTGCACGGCTGTACTCCAAAGAACACAAGACTCTTAAGTCTCAAGATTTACTGGAT